ATAATTTGGTGATTGGGGATGGATGCTTCGAGCCCGGCCTGTCAGTGCTTGCCAAAATGTTTTTGACGTAGGAAATTTAGCTCAGAGAAGGGAGTGCTTACTGAAGTAATATCTTTCAGACGTGGAAATTGAAAACTGCAAGCACATCTTCTACATGTAAGATTGAACGCCTAACGATGACATTTTAAATGCAAGGTTTTTTTACGCCGACAGCGACACAATTTAGATCAAATAGGATGCAGGATTCGATTCGATTATGCCTGTCAAGGCCATCCCGGGCTGAGAGGAGGAATGCAGCGTACCATCAGAAAGACTGAAAAAGTCGATAAAAGCTCTCCCGACTCGAGAATCGAACTCCAGTTTCCTGCAGTTGACCGCTACATTATGAATGCCTGTCTAACGATTGAGCGTCAGAGTCCGGTTAGAAAATGGTCGAGGTGATTGGGGGTGGGATGGGTGGTTATGACATGGCTCCAAGAGACACATTATGATAAAGAAGTTGTCGGTTTGGTTGTACGGTGCTTAACCTGAGAGATGACTTCGAATATTATAGCGGCCACAGAAAAGAAAGAAAACGTTTGAAGTCGAAACAGGTTTTGAATAAATGCATGAAACAACAACACGACAAATGCCAAACCGCTTGTAGCGTCCCAAAACCTTCTAACAACTACAGTTTGGGATCAAAGGCAAAAGTGAGATCTGAAGTGTATAAAAAAAGATTAATTAACTTTGGATTTACTTGTCTTTTTCACAAGGACATTTGACGGTGGTAAAAATGCTTTCATCGACGTAAACAACTTTCACACATTCGTATACAAATCTACACTCAGGAGAACAGACCAACGCTTGTCCACTTTTTCCGAACCAGCGCCCACTTTTGTGGCGTCGGTGGCCTAGTGGTTAGGCTCTCGGATTCCCAACCGTAAGGTCGTGGGTTTGAATCCCGTCAGGGGCCCGACGTTGTGTCCTTGTGAAAGGCACTTTACACGTATTTTCCTCACTTCACCCAGGTGGAAATGGGTACCCGGCTATAGACAGCAAAAGATCTTGTCAGTTTGTTAGTGTTTGAGCGCTTGATCAACTGCTTGTATTGTATGCTTCCCGGGAAGCTGAGAATGTTTCGGAGTGTTCTATGGTCTGCTGGGATAATAATATAGCGTAAAGCGCAAAGAGCCTGCTGTTGAGCTGGGATATGCGCTATACAATTGCTATTTATTATTATTATTATTATTATTATTATTATTATTATTATTATTATTATTATTGTTATGCCATCATTGTGACAGAGGTGCTTGAAGGGAATATGTGAAGCAGGAAAGCGAAAGAAGGGCAAAGAATAACATGAATGGACAACATATTAAGAACATAGACTGGCCTGGATATGGCAGAGTGTGGAACGGCAGCTTGCTACCGTTAAGGATGGAGGGTCATTACACGTCAACATCTGAGTCAGAGATGACACCTGTAGGCATCCAGGTAAGTTGCTAAAATGTTGGTGCAGCCCACCTCACACGTACAGGTGTATTTCCAAGCGAGGCATTGAATAATAGCCATCACAACCCAGGTGGAATTCATCGACATACGTGTGCAGGTAAGACTTTATATCAGTTAGAAGCAAAAATAAAAAAACCCAACCCATTTGCTTCGTATTCCAAAAACAAAATCCCTAACTGCCGTTCCATTTAGAACAGAATCCACACGCCTCACCGCGAACGATTGAGTTTCAGGATATTACACAAATGAAATGATACTCGGCAGACAACAAGACATCATTCTTCTGACCTTAAGATGCATGCCCTCGTTTCCCTGTAGCTTTTTATCGTGCGAATGTTCATGCTTTGTTTAGCGACACTAAAAATCGGGAAAACCCTACTTCAGGGCGCTGACCTCTTACCTTTTGCTGTAATCATGTTCACATGCCCGGCGGTCATAATATTATGATACCACTACTACATCAGCTCTTGATAGCTACTCTAGAACTACAAAGTTCTATCTGTTCAGTACATACGAGTAGTGTTGAGAAATTCGACGTAAAATTTTTTTGAGTTGCACAAGAATAATATAATAATACATCAAGATTTTTCGAATGCAATTCTTTGAATATCTTGATAATGACTCCGTTTTCGACTTCATGTTCAGGTAACTCAAAACGGCCAAAAATGTCAGATAGACTTTTATAGTTCTAAGGTAACGGTTTTTCTCAATTTCCTAAAAAAACAAGATAAAGGAAATAATCGGTTTATTGGGTATCAAATCTTCACAATCATCAAAGGTCACGATCAAGGCCATTGTAAGAAAACAACAATCAATAAACGCAGAACTGAAAGTTATGCATAGTTTGCACGCAATAAGGCCCGTATTCGTTAGTCATTGTAGGATTTGCTGGTATTTTGGCGTTCCTTTCTTATATTATTATTATTATATGTGACGTGTGCTGACAAAATGAGTTACTTCTCGGATTTCACCTTTATGGAAATTGATACATCAACTTGATAGGTGAAGTTTGTACAATTTGTGAGCATGGAATAGTAAAAGACACAGTAAACTTGAACAAAATGGCATCAATTGAAAATCTATAAATCTGACCGCAGTGTTGATTTTCAGCCGATATCTCCATTCTGGGATCGTGAGAAGTAACTCATTTTGTCAGTACATCTCACATATGGTATAATAGGGGCTAGGTAATAAGAGCTATTAATGATTTTGCTTTCTAAGAGTTGCAATCCAAGTTTTTTTTTCGAAAGTTGAGAACGTAGGGACTCCTACAACTAAAGGTGTCACGACGTGGTGGAATCAGGCGCTCGTCAATTTTTGGGCAAGAGGGGTGATTGGTATCATCTGAAAGCTTATTCATTTGTCTTGCTTTCTAAGAAAAAAAAGCAACAGCCACTTATTTTGAATAAAAGTCGAAATATTTGTTATTGAAGGCGGTGGGGATAACATGGTTTTAGTGGTATAATTATTGAGAACATGCCCGAAAAATTTGGTAATTTCTATAGCTAGAGAGCCCTCGAAAACTGAACATTTACATAGTTTGTTCTATTAATCAAGGTTTTTCAGTACAATTCACATAGAAATGTGTCTTTATATCGACTTAAAAGATGTTGGTTGAGCCAACCCCCCCACCCCCCAAACATTTGATAAACATTTCCAAACTGGAGGAAAAATGCCTGTTCCTTAGCTTTCCTTATTTTGACGAGGGCCTGATTACAATGCGATGACTATTACGTAACCCCCCCAAAAAAAAAAACCAAACAAAAAAAACACGTAAAGATTATTTCAGGAGGGATTAATGATAAAAATCGCGCTCTGTCCTTTGAATAAAAGACTTGACCAAGATACAAATACAAAAAGGGTTGTATATACTTTGTGTGACAAAATACACCTGTACCAACTTGCATGATGTACATAAACTGTCGGACAGAACACCTCGTAAGTGTCACGACGCGGCGGAATCAGGCGCTCGTCAATTTTTGAGTTATTAGTACCATAAAGAAAGCTTATTCATTTGTCTTGCTCTCTCTGGGAAAAATGCCTTGTATCTTCCGAAGAAGTCAAGACATTTCCGATTGAAGGGGACCTGGGTTGCTTGGTTTCAATGGTAAAATTGGCCAGAACATTGTCTCCAACATGTGATAATTTTAACAGCTTGTGAGTCCTTGAAAATGATAACATTACATATATTGTGCCTTTATTCAACGCTTTTCCGTAGAATTCACAAGAATATATGTTTTTATATGAACACAAAGGGTGTTGAGCAAAACAAAGAATTTTTTTTTACAAAACTGGCGGGAAAAAGCCCGTTTCTTCCATTTCATTATTTTGACGGGTGCATGAAGAATATTGAAGTCTATACGCTTCTCTTTCCCGTTACCTGTCGTAGGGGGTGTTTTCTTCTTGTTTTTTTCCTTTTCTCTGCTTTCTGATTTTCTTTTTCTTACAATAACCATCCACCAGGCCAGCTTGGTTGCACACTAAGACCTGGGGGAGACCTTGATTAGCGAGGCGGCGTCTCAGCTCGTATGGGATTCTATCATTTGTGAAGAGCAATAAAAACGCATATCCTGTAGCACTAAAACATTCTGCCCTTGAAACAATTCATTCCTATCCACCAACATGGATCCACTCATACACTGATGGATCTGCCTTTAAGGCAACAATCAACGCTGGATATGGGCCAGTGATCAACTTGCCCAGTGGGATAAAAAAAAAAGGAACTCTTTAATTTCAGCGGGTCATTCTGCTCCAATTTCACTGCCGAACAACAGGCTATCACCAACACAGTAAACTACATCAACTACTTGTTTGACACTAACCCACTTGCTACCACAGACATCGTTATCTTTACAGACAGCCTTTCAACACTAGAGACACTCGAGAGTGGGACTGATGTGAACAAATATATTATATTGCACTTGATTTGGAGTCTACAGAATTTGATAGTAGGCACCACGTCAGAGTAGTCCCACAATGGATTCCTGCCCATACTGGGATACCGGGAAATGAAAGAGCTGATGCTCTGGCAAAGAAAGGAGCTGGCCTCCATCAGCCTGAAATTCCTACGAATTACACCACCCGTTGCCAAATGATCAAGTCAAACCTCAAGGAAGAGTGGATGAATGGTTGGGCCACAGGTACGACATGAAGGATGATGTATGGCCACATGAATAAACCACTGGTCAAAGATCCAATCAATGAGTTGAGGAGGGGAGATCAATCCATAGTCTTACAACTTAGAACACAACATGTACCCCTCAACCAACATCTCAACCGAATTGGAGCAAAGCAGTCTGTTGCCTGTCCACTATGTGACTACCCCTCAGAGACAGTGGAACATAATCTGTTCTTCTGTAGAAAACTAACTGATTTAAGGGGATGTTTTCTTCCCAAGCTACCCCACACATCTAATTTCCTCAACTCCTCAAGACAACAATTAGAACAGACATGCAGCTATTACCGAATGGCATCCTGCAGAAGAGTTAATGCTCAGATGCTACTGGATCGCTAACAGCAACAACAACAACGGGTGCATGATTTCACCACCATGCCTAACAATTATTTGAAGTACCAGCCTAAATGATGTACATAAACGGTGTGGCACAGAATACGACACATAATGTACCAACCTGTATGATGTACAATGACATAAGCTGGGTGACACAGAACACACATAATTTGATGTACCAACCTGTATGATGTACAGAAACTGTATGATGTACAGAAACTGTACAACAGAACACGACACATACTTTGATGTACCAACCTGTATAATGTACATAAACTGTGTGATACAGAACACGACATATAATCTGATGTACCAACCTGTATGATGTACATGTTGAGTTTGCACATGGCCTCCCCGTACTCCCAGTTGACGGACACGTAGGCCGCTGTGGTGATGGGGACCACGATGATGATGAAGGCCAGGTCAGCCAGGGCCACGTTGATGATGTAGCAGTTGGTGGCCGTTCTAGAAGAGAAAAACGACAACAACAACAACAAAACAATTAATATAGGTACTGTTACATCCCGATCGATGCAGTTTAGGTCACAGGCGGGTTGTGTTGTGGGTGGTGGGTGCTCTGATGTGGTTTGCTCCTTCTTTCCTATTAAACAACTGTCGTCTTTATCTCTTTTTAGTATTTTTTAAATATTATGTTTGTTACTCTCTTGGAACATTATTATCTAATATTCAGCCCTTATATGACCTTATTGTTTTGCAAATGCCGTAAAACTCTTACTAAAACTAAAAACAGGCGGGCGTCTGACTCTGTCTGTCACTGCCAACCCGGGCTGAAAGGGATACAACATACCAGTAGCAAAACCAAGACAGAACGACCGAGATACTCGATATAAGAATATATTGAATAGCTCCCCACTACTGAATCGAACTTAAAGTTTCTTGAGTGCAGCAGCAAAGTGCCTAATCGTTACTTCAGAGACGCCAATGTTTTGAACAAGCCAGGAAGAGATTGTGTTAGTTTGTTTCATGATTTGTTTGTTTGTGGGGTGGGGGAGGGTGGGGTAGGAGTGGGATTGGGGTTGGGGTTTAGTTG